CATCTGTAAAATGGTAGGTTTGCTCTAATTCCATTTGCTTCGTAAAAGGTTGAATCGGATGTTTGGATTGAATGATCTCCAAGGTGTCTTCTCGCTCCAAAGTTCACCATCCCGAGCATCCTTGTTCCTCCCCTGGTTACTGCTCTCAGCTCTGCCTGAGGAGACCCTGAGAACAGGGAGGAGCCCCTGGGAGCAGCAGGATGCTCGAGGCCTGGCTGTGCTCCAGGAAAGTGGCCTGAGCGTGCGTTTGTATGGAGAACGAGGTATCAACACAAAGCACGGGAAATGAGGAAAAGACATCAGAAATACTCTGGGGAGAAACAAAGGCCACACAACAGGGAGGAAGGAAGGCGCTTTGGTGCTCTGTCCATGGGTGTGTGTGTGTGTGTGTGTGTGTGTGTGTGTGTGTGTGTGTGTGTGTGCAGTGGGAACCACTGGGCAGTCCCGATCCAGTGCTGCCACTAAATACTGTATCATATTGTGCATTCGATGACACTCAGTTTCCTACCAGTCGAATGATGGCTGAACTGCACAGCCTAGAAGAGGCTCCTGGCTAGGGAGAGTACACCATGTCGAGCTAACCAGACCCCCGCCTCACCTCCCACCACACTGCTCTCTTCCCTCCACCACCATCCCATTGTACTCAAGGCACATGTCCTACCCCCTTGGCCTTGGGAAAGTCAAGAAACCACTACTGCTGCTTTTAGGGAGGAAGCCCAGGGACCTGGAGCTCAAATCTCCAACCCTGTGGCTTCCTTGACCAAAACACCCCTTCTGGTCACCACCAGGGTTGACCACCACTTCCCTCTAGGTCTTATCTTTCATTATTAGAATGTAAGTTCCTTGAAGATGGGGAATGACTTGCTTTTTGTATTTATATCCCCAGCCTCCTAGGACAGCTTGGGGCACATGGTAAGCACTTCATCAATGCTCCGCCCTCTCTCCCTTTCTCCTTCCTTCCCTCCTTCCTTCCCTCCTACCACAGGCCACTTTGGGGCACTCTTAGCCGTGCCTAAGATAATGAGCTGGCCCAGTGAGGGCAGAATCCACACTGGGAGTTCCTCAAATGATGAAACCACACATCTATGCTCCCCCCTGCAATGTACTGTGTTTGCCCAGCTTCCGGCTGAAGACTTCCAACAAATGGGTCCCCTGATCCCAAAGTCCCACTTTTGCACATTTCTCTAAGGGTTAGGAAGTTTCTTCCTTACCTTGAGCCTAAGGCTGACTTTTCACAACTCTCCCCCCAGGTCTGCTGTCTGAGACACAGCCCCGAGGAAAGGGGAAGGGTTGAGAGCCAGAACACCTGGGTTCAAATCCTGGCTCTGCTCCGTGGCTTAGGCTAAGTGCCTTCCCTTCTAGGGCTTCAATTTTATTTATTTATTTATTTTTGTTTTGTTTTGTTTTTGATAGGAAATGGAGTTAAGTGACTTGCCCAGAGTCACGCAGCTAGTGAGTGTTACATGTCTGAGGTTGAATTTGAACTCAGGTCCTCCGCCTCCACGGCTGGTGCTCTCTCCACTGAGCCACCTAGCTGCCCCAGGGGCCTTCAATTTTATCATGAGTAAAATGAGGGGGTGACTTAGATCACCTCTGAGGTCCTGCAGTCCTGGAACCGAGATACCCAATGCTGCTTCTCCATGAAAGTCTTTAAATACTTGAAGACAGCTTTTCCCATCCCCCATCCCACCCCAACCTTCTCTTCTCCAGGCTAAGTGCCCCTAGTCCCTTCCACGGGGCCTCCTGTGGCCCAGCCTCCTGTCAGGTTGCACTGCTGGCTGCCCTCCCGTGGACACGCTTCACTCAGGCGTCATGGGCAGCGTGTAAAGCAGCTCTGTCCGGCCCCCTAGGGGTCTGGCTCTCAGGAGACCACAGGAACTCTAAGAAGCCACAATGTACCATTGCTAATGAGCCACAGTGAAATCTTCCCATCAAAGGGAAAGGGAGAAGTAGAGAGAGAGCTGGGCTGTGAATCAGGATGACCATGGGCAGGGCACTTGTGTCTCAGTTTCCTCATTTGTAAAATGGGGAAAATAATCCCTGCAGTTCCAAGCTCATTAAGTCATTCTGAAGCCTACGTAAGATGAGGTATGTCAGGGGCTTTGCAAACTTTAAAGCACTAGTGTTATTATTAATATTCTTATATTATTACCTTTACTACTACTAATACTACTACTGTTACTACTACTGCTACTACTGCTACTACTATTACTATTACTGCTGCTTCTGCTGCTACTACTACTGCAATTCTACTGCTACTACTACTATTACTACTATTACTACTACCAACAATACCACCACCACCATCACCACCACCACCATTACTACTATTCCTACTACTACTGCTGTTGCTGCTTCTGTTGCCACTGCTACTACTACTACTACTACTACTACCATTACTGTTGCTGTTGCTACTACTACTACAACTCTACTGCTACTACTACTGTTACTACTACCAGCACTACCACCACCACCACCACTACTACTACTACTAAGATAGGATATTGCCCTGGCTTTCAGCTGCCACTCACAGCCACAAGCCAGATCATCGAAGAGGCAGCTTCACCTGGCTTCATTCAACCTCCTCCTTCTTCCGCACGCCAGCCTTGTCCTGGGCTTGGGTCTGACCCTGACACTTGGCATGGCCGTATAGCTTTGAGCAAGTCCCTTTTACCTGCCTTGAGAGGTAGTTATCACAGTGGCACAGCCATAGGACTTGGAATCAGGAAAATCCTGCCCGAGAGACTCGTTAACTCAGTGACTCTGGGCAAGTCTAAGTACTTTCTGTATTTCAGTTTCCTCCCCTGTAAAACTGGAAATTGGGCCCGACTGCCTTGGGAGAGGTCCCTTCCACCTTTGAATCTGTGATTCTATAATCCTTTCTCTCTCTGGGACTCAATTTCCTCCTTAGGAAGACTTAAGTTCAAACCTGGCCTTAGGCACTTACTAGCTGTGTGACTCTGGGCAAGTCATTTCACCTCTGTTTGCCTCAGTTTCCTCATCTGTAAAATAGGAATAACAATAGCATCTCCCTCCCAGGGTTGTTGTGAGGCTCAAGTGCTTAGTACAATGTCTGGCAAATAGTAGGCACTTAATAAGTCTTCCCTCCCTTTTTCTCTCCCTCCCTCCTTCCTTCCTTCCTTCCTTCCTTCCTTCCTTCCTTCCTTCC